TTGCAGATTTTTCACTTTATCGCGGGATTTTGCGGTATATAAACATTTTTAAATTTCCAATATTTTCATTATTTTTGTGATAATTTTTTTCATTTTCTAGCCTAAGAAGAAAAAAAACTAAAAATTAAATTAAAAAAATCAATTAAAAGACATTTTGTAACACATACATACAGGAATAACCTGTACGTACGGGTCGTAGATCGGAGATTTGTGAAAGGTTCGTTATACATCTCGTTAACCTTTTTTGGGGACCAGAAAGTCACATGCAGACCTTGAAAGTTAATGCTCCGTCCTGGAAAACTGGACCTTTGGACTTATTCCACTTTGAGTGTTCTGGGCAAGAGCTCAAAGTCTTTCAGGTGAACAAGGTCAAATACAAAAAAAAAAAAAACATGGCCGATGGACTATGGTGAGGGAATATGCTGATTGTTGTAAAGAGATACTGCAGCAACAGACTTCTACAGTTTAACATGAGGAGAAACAGGAACAGTTTTTTATCATCAACTCAAAGTCCAACAACTCAGGAATCTAAACTGGGCTGATAAACAACAAATCAGGTGAAGCAGGAGGCGGGACACCAGGACAGACTTCGAACAGGAACGTCAGAGGTGTGGGACGATCGAGACTGATGAAGGCAGAAGCCCAGGACACAGGTGAGTGTGGTAAAACTAGTTACCCAGAGAGAGAGAGAGACAGACAGAAGGACAGAGACACAGGTAGATGTGAAGCTGAATTGTTGAGTTAATGTTTATAAGAAATGACTTTTTGAGACCCTCAAAACATAGATCCATGACCCACTTCTGGTCCTTTACCACCATTTGAATAACCCGGCTCTCAGCAAAGTTATTGGGAGGAAAACTTTACTCTGTCCGACAGAGTCGTGTCTGTAGATGAGATCTTTCATTATTGATCAGGAGGAGAGAACAAGGTTCTGGTTCCTCCCGTCCAGAGCTCTGATTGATGTTCTGCTCAACTGGAATACGACAGCGTTTGTTTTTGTTCTGGGCTCCGTCTCAAACACACATTCCCTGACGTCCTACGCTGCAGTGGATCTGATTTGGAAATAATTAAAAATGCTTTGTTTTTCTCAAATAAACCGATCCAAGACTGTTGGAATGCAGATTTTACTTTCTGATTTCTGAGCCAACGGTGTTGGAGTTTCCCACCAGGCTGAACAATGGAGTGAACCACAGTGAGAAGCAGCGGTGTTCAGTTTCAGGTCTTTTATGCCAGCACAAGCTAACTGGACACATGAAGAATGAATGAGGCATTTACTGAAGGGGAAATGATGAGATTGAAGGTACGTATGTCAGCTACTCAGGAAAAGACAAAAGGAAACAAGGAAATATACAGTACATAAACATGAACCCTCCCTGGTTTAGATCTCATTAAATTTGTTAACCTGTTCCGTCGATATTTTAAACCTGGGTTTTTCAGGTTACTACATAATGAATAGATATTATAGTAGTGCATGAATATATTCCAAATTAAATGTTGGTTCTTGGATTTTTGTGAAATAAATGTTCCAAAAATTCAATCTCTGCTCCAGTGCCACCTATAGTCCAGCACATACGGTAGTTAGGACTATTGTTGAGTCTCCAGTTGTGAAAATTCCCTTTTTTTTAAAAAAACACTATAATTATGTGCTATAAAACTATCAACTTATCAAGGTAAATAAAAAAAAAACTATTGAAACATCTCCAATGTCTTTCGGCCGTGCCCTACAGGGGGCGCCACAGCAGATCGCCTGCAGCCATCTCAGGTCGTGCCGCGTCTCATGTTGCACAATAAGAAAATATTACAATTAAAATTAATTGAGTCGGTTGCGCCACTGCGGTGCCCCCTGAGGGACCTCACCCCCCAGTTTGGGAACCGTTGCCTTACAGCAAGAAGAAGAAGACGGCAGTGATAACTCAGAGTCATTTTGTAGATTTGGCCCCCACTGCCCACCCAACATTCCAGAAGCCTGTAGTTCCTTTCAGATTTCTCCTCTGGGTGTGAATATGAGTGTGAATGTTTATTTGTTTGACTGGACGACTGCATGGCATTCGACTCTTTTTTATTCCACTTCCCTCAGGTTTTTGTTTTTTAGTTAGACTGAGTTACTTTCACACTCTGACACATAGTGAAGCGTAGCGTAAAGTCACGTGAACGCCAGGGCTGCTGCTGCACACAGCCTGCAGCATGACAAGCAGAACAGCTGCCCACGTGAATACTGTATGGAGGTAAACAGCAGCTTAAAAGCAGAGCGGGGGGGGGGGTGTTCAAATAAGGGGGGGTTCTAATGACAGGGAGGACTTGTAGAAGTAGCTCAAGCTAATGGTTGTACCATAATTATTCTTGTTCCAAAACAAAATTTTCTTTTTTTTTCACTGACAGACAGTAGCTGTGTCCCAAAAACATGATTTTTATTCATGAAAAACTTCTGCAAAAGCCGTAAACCCTGCCTTAATAATAGCTCCAGGAGTATTTTTGTCTTCGACGGCGGAAAATGAACGCAAACATCCTTGAGTTCGAATTCACCGAAGACAGAAACGAACGTCAGAGCTCCGATAATGAGCTCCTGCTTACGTAGTTGGAAGGAGCGACTCGGTGTTCTACCCAGAAGTAAGAAAAAGAGGTTGTTTCATTTATTTATCAAATGTAAAATATTTATAGGATTCAATCTGCTGGCTGAGGAAAACCGGGCAGAACAAACTGTGGGTGGAAGAATCTCACAGATGCTTCATGGATGGATGTTTAAAAAAAATCTGGTACGGGGGCCGCTGCTCTGCACACACTCCTGCCCTCCATTATGTTCCCAGGCTTTTAGGCAGTTATGACTGGACGTCGACACACCGCGGGCCGTGAATGAATCACTCTGCAGTTTGTGGGACTTTGTGTGGCAGACAAAGGGAGTGGACACTTCCACTGCAGATAAGGTTGTGGCCTAAACACAAACAAAAAGCACAAAGCAGGAGTACTGTAGGTGTGTGGATGTTCCTGTCGAGCCAGTCTGACTGGAGCGCTGCCTCCAAACGCCCCGAGAGGGAAAGCTTCTGAGAATATCTCTACAGGAAAGAAAGAGAACAGAAACAGAACAGAGGGAACGGCCGCATCTCAGACTGGAGGCCAAGGTTTTGACTGACGGCTTTGTAGGAGGTTAATTATAACATGCTCACTCTCTCAAAAAAGAAACATGCTCACTCTCTCTCAAAAAAAAAAAGGAAAAGAAAATCAGTTTCAATGTTAATCCAAGTCCAACGTCCACATGCCGTTCATTAGATCTGGACTGACACCTTGTTAGAATCAACCTGCAGCAGCTCATCTCTGCCCAAAGTGAAACAGAGGGACAAACACGAGGTTGGAGACCTGGAAATGAGGGCAGGGCGATGCAGAGACAGATCACGTTTAATGACTTAGCAGCACTCTCTGACCAAGACAGGGTTTTAAATAAAACATGAAAGCGAGAGGAGCAGGAACTCCTCCCTTTACAGCAACTTGTGACAAGCCATGATATTCTGAGAGACAGCAAACCAAGATGGGAGCTCTCCCGCAGGAGAGCTTTCCTCCTCCATCTGCTGGGCTATACATCACCGGAATTAAGGACGGTCTCTCGTCCCCACAATGTGCATGGTTTTCCTGGAGAGTGGGTGGGAGGGACACACGCTGCCTAATAGCCTTTGAGCATCTGACGAGCTCATGTGCACTAAGATCTTCAACACAGCCACATTCCATTCTCTGCATCTTTAAACAGGGAGTCCAATATCCATCGCACGCAGGGAGGAGGGGCGGGGGCCGCTCACGTACGTCAGCAGGAGGCTAAGTTTCCACCCAGACATAAAAAAAAGAAATAAAAAAGAACCCCAGTCTTGTTCGGGACATTTACACGGCCGGAACCATTCAGCTGTGGAAGGGTTGAGTGGGAGGGCCTGTGGATTGATGAGAACATGTAAATAAGTCATAGCTAACCTCTCTCTCTCTCTCTCCCTCTCACTGCTTTCCTTTTCTACTGTTGCTCGCCCCTCACTCTGTTAAAAAGCCGTGTGTACATTTTTAGAATTCCCAGTCCTCTGCTGACATGGAGAGAGAGAGAGAGAGATGAAAGATTCATGTGGGTTTTTTTTTTTAAAATGTCCTGAACTTTCTTTATGGAGCCAGTGTCATTTAATTATTTAGTCTGCAGAATGCAAGTAAAGAAGCCAGGCCTTTGGACTGGGCAAATAAAACCCATGACAGGAGCACGTACAGCACAGAGAAGAGGAGCCGTTCACTGATAAAATGTCTGGGTCACAGGGTGGAAGAGTGGCTGGAGCTCTTGCCTTACAATAAGAATAGCACTAGTTTGTTCCACGGATTTTTTTTTTCTCCAAGAAGATCACAATCAAGCCAAATTAAATAGTAATTAAATAGTTGCTTGTATCTACTGTACAGTTCAGGTTGTACCCCATCCTCACCCAGTGGCTGGGGGGGGGGGTGGCCCCCCCCCCCCCCCCCCCCCCCTCCCCCCCCAGTTTGGGAACCGCTGCCTTACAGCAAGAAGAAGAAGACGGCAGTGATAACTCAGAGTCATTTTGTAGATTTGGCCCCCACTGCCCACCCAACATTCCAGAAGCCTGTAGTTCCTTTCCCCCAGTTCTAAAAAAAAAAAAAAACCCTGAAGATAATTAAACTGGAGAAAAACTGATGAATAAATGCAGTTTTGTGTAGATTAGATGTGGATGGAGTCTGTGGACACTCGCAGCTGGTCAGTGAATGCACCAGCAGAGGGAGACCACGTCACACTTCTCTGCTGCAGCAGCTGTTCGTCTTACATTAAGTTGCTCAGCATAAAAAAATAATATTTTTTTACATTAAGTTGCTCAGCATAAAAAAAATAATATTTAAAAAAAAAAGAACACTAAGAATTTTTAAAATAAAAACACCCGTTCGGCTTCTAATATTAAATAAATAGCATTTTAAAAATTCTTTACATATGAATAAAATTCATAGGAACTTTAGTCCTTGAAGAAATAGCAGGAAGAGTTCAACAAGTGTAGCCGTTAAGGGTTAAAGTGGGTCGGACCGTGAAATCGGAGACATTTCCTACGATGAATTAGCTCCGCTGAGGTTTGGACGTGACGTTTATGAGCTCTTTGTTTAACCCTGCTGATTTTAACAGGTGGGTTTATGTGGTTAGAACTACAGTGGACGTTTGTGTCACCGTGAAGGTAGGAGGCAAGAAAGAAAAAAACAACAACAACCGCTGCCAGCGGTGCGTCGTGCTGCGCACGGTCCTCAGGACGCTGCGTCATGGCGACAGCGGCGGAGAATCCAGTCATTTTCTAATCCAGGTTTCAGGAAGATGTGTCCGTCTGCTGTCAGATGAAGTGAGTATGGAACGGTCTGTGGTCGCGATCTGTGAAAGTATGTCGATCTGTGTGTTGTGTGGCTGTTTCCGGTCATTTCCTGTCTTACCTGTGGAGCCAGGTAAGAGCGCATGACACCTGTAGCCCGAAAACGAGCTGCGTGTTGTTTAACGCGAAATCTTCAGTCATATAAGTCGTGAAATTACACGCACAAACGTGTTCGTTGTCATGTTAAGAGTTGGTTCGATTATATTGTGAGGATTTTTTTGTTTTTCACAGTAAAAGTCCTGACATGGACTCCTCTCCCCTCCTCTCCTGTGTTCCCAGTATGGTGGATTACAGTGTATCAATGCGCCAGCAGAGGCCACAGACTCACACAGAGGTGGTCCCGTTTAAAATGGAGCAGCTCGCTCTGATGACAGTCCTGGAGTGTCCTCTGTGTTTGGAGCAACTCGATTTTTCAGCCAAGGTTCTACCCTGTCAACACACCTTCTGCAAGGCCTGCCTGCAGAGGCAGGAGTCTGCCGCTCAGACCCACCAGCTGCTCTGCCCGGACTGCGGTGACCCGGTCCCAGCCAGGACGGTAGATGAGCTGCCCACCAACCTCCTGCTGGTCAGGCTCCTGGAGAGCCTTCAGGGTTCCGCGGGCCCGAGCGGCAACAGACAGAGCGGCCGCTACTCAGCGCCTGTGGCTCGAAGCGGTACCACAATCTGGGAGAGTCAGCCGCAGCAGGAGGGTCAACATAGGGAGACACAAGGGCACAGTGAGGTCAGTGCACGACCCCAGGCTTTCTGTAATCAGTAATATCTGAATCCTGTTTACATAGAATAACATTTTAATTGCAAAAGATAAATGTTGACATCATTCAAAATTAATTTTAGGTACATTTTGTGAAAATGCTAAAAATTAAAAAGAAAAATATAATTTGTTAATTTAGTTTTTAAAAACGTAAATCGCCATTTTTAACAACAAGAAATTATTGTTGACATCTAGGTATTGGCCAGATCTAAGGTGTTTGCCGGCCAGAAGTGATCCCCAGACCATATATTTGAAACCCCTGACTTATGTAATGAACGCATTGGTTTTTTCAAGTATTATATAAACTATTAACACCTGAGACAAATCATGACAGCGTTTATAAAAATGAAAAAAAAAATCACCCCAAATTTCCTTAAAAAAAAAGTAGAGAATTTGACCATTTAACTTTTATAACAGTATCGTAATAATATATAAAAATTGATGACTCAAACCACATTTATTGATGTGTCAAGAATATTGATTTTTAATCAATATTGCCATAACGCCGAGCTGCTCATTGATGGTACTGTTGACCCCTGTGACGACCTGCTGACACTGCTCCCGCAGGGAGCAGCTCGGCACAGCCCGGGTTGGCTGAGGCAGAGAGAAGCAGAGGAGAGAGAGAGAGAGAGAGTGAGGGGAGGGATGATGGAGAGGGAGGGAGTAAGAGGGAGTGAGTGAGAGAGAGAAAGAGAGAGAGAGGAGGCGATGGAGAGTAAGGCAACAGCGCCAAGCTGTGGTGAGTTGGCGCTACTACGCCGGGGATTCGGAGAGTGGAGACGGAGGCAGAATGAAAATGTGGGTTGGATTAAAGTGGGAACATGGAAGAGGGTGAGTGAGTGGGTGAGAGGGGAGAGGGGGGGCAGTTGGCTTCCTCTCACTGAGGTACTGACCTGAGAGGGTGGAAGTACAACTCTGTACTCTGTGTACTCTCTCTGAAGTATTTGTCTGTCCCAGACCTTTCTGTGAACATACATAGTAAATGAGGACGAACACACTCACCTCAGCTAAGGCCGTTATCATCAACTGGTGGTCCGCACACCAAAACCAGTCCACCAAACCGTCCCATCCGGTCTACAACTGGATTCCTAAAAAAACATCAAATAATAATGTTAGACAAAATTGTGATTTTTAATTCATTTATTGGAGATGCTAATATTAACTTATTGACGATTCCCGATATGCTGATATTGTTCAGACACTTAATTTCCGATTCCAAATTCAACCAATACCAATATATACCCTGCACCTGAGATGAACGCCTGGTAATATTTATTTGTTTATCTGTTGCTGGTACCAGTATTCAAATCCATACAATCCCCTGATTATTGATATAGATTAATGACATGAGCTGCAATGCTGCCATCTGGAGACTTTCACCTGAATATACAGTAATTTTCCCCAAAACTATTTTTGGGGCACACATCTTTTGGCGAAACCCAGGCAATGTGTTATCGGGTTTTCATTATCTGAGGAAAAATCAATAACGATTCTTACAGATATTACACAATTCTGCTAATATTGGGCCGATATAATTGGTCGGCCGATATTATCTAAGCTCCTTAGTCAGGATGCTGTTACTTCATGTTGTGGTAAGATGGATTACTGTAGAAAATAATCATATCAGAGGGGAAGAACAGGTAAAGTGTGGAGATTACCCAGAATGACGTGCTGTGGACGTGTTCTGAGGAGAGATAGGGTTTGTGGTAAACAAAGGTTATCAGTGGTGCTGCGGGTGGAGGGGGTGAGGTGTGAGACCCTGGTGAATATTTATAGAGGTAGAGAAGGAGCTGTACTGTGTCTCTTTTCCATCTGCAGACAGAATGTTCCAGCGTTCCAAAGAAGGAAATAGAAACTCCTTAAGTGTCTTTCTGAGTTTCTATGAAAAACCTGTCTCCCTCGATGTCTTTTTGGTTTTTGTCCTGCCCCTTTGAAGGTGCAAGAGGCAAAATATTTCATCTTGATAAACCCTAAAAGAAAAGTGTTAAAATGATTGAGTTATAAACGAAAATTAATGTTACCCCGTGTGTGTGTGTGTGTGTTCACCCAGACTTATAGGTGTGAATGATGGTTGTCTGTATATGTGGCCCTGCGAAGGACTGGCAAACTGTCAAGGATGTACCGTCAACATCCTCGCCCGCTGACAGCTGCCGCCCACCCGGCACGACCCTGCAAAGATATAGGCGCTAGATAATGGACGGGTGGAGGTCTGTGTGACAGCTTTGCTGCTGGGAACTGATTTTAACTCGGTAGAAATCTCTAGATCTTGGAGCTGTAAGCGTGTTGTTTCTCGGTGTTTGTTTTTCCGTGGAGTCCTGAGGGACAGAAAGTCCTGATTTCTCAGCAGTTGTGGCGAGAACTGTTCAGTGTTGTTAAAATGTAGCTGTAGCTCAGGCACAGTGTGGAAAAAACACAGCCGAGCCAGTGAGGTACGGTGATGTGTATATGAATGGATTAGACGTTTCTGGGACCTTTTCCTTTTCCATTTTCTTCAAAAGTCTTGAGTTTTTTAGATGATAAAGATCATTTATATTATATTATTGTCAAATACTTGTGAATGGTAAACTCTACTGTACTAGTTTTATCGTCAGTAAATACATATAAAATCATTATCATTATCAATCATTTTTTTCATCACTCTTTATTCCCACTAAATAATAAACTCAATAACAAACTGTTTTATTTCTTGAGGAACTTGATAACATAACAAAGAATATTAACTTATTTGATGAATATCAGACAGCTTTTTTTACATCTTTATTTTTCTGTCCATTTTTTAAACACCGTAAATCAATTATTTTATGTGCTATTCCATCGTTAACAATGTCATTTTCCTGTCTGTTCTTCAGCTTTCAGTCAGGGCTTCGATCCGTAACAAGCGCAGAGACACTACGGGAAAGCTGGCCTTCATGCATGGAAACAGTACTGCTCCCAAACACAAAGTGGAAGAGAGCTGGCACCAAGGAAGTGCAGCTGACAGTAGCTGTGTGTCTGTGTCTGCTGTGAACCAGATGTCTCAGCTGCAGCCCCTGCAGCAGTCCCCATCACTGGCTCTCTGCAGGGCGCTCTGCAACTTTAATCCGGAAGAGATGAATCTGGAAGACAGTAAATATTGCCTCAGCTTCCTCAAGGTCTGACTCTCACACTGTCGACTTAATGTAGTGAGAAGCTCTTTGTGCTTTGGTTTAGTGGCTTGCGTTTGAGAGCGTGAGCGGTTACGTTACAAAGACAGAGATACATTTTAAAACTTTACAAAGTTGCAACCTGAACTCTGTGAAGAATCATGGAGCTGTCAAAATACAGTTAGGTGATTGGAAGTGTATACAATTATGTAATGACCAGAGTAGTTTGACCTGATGTGACCCTCTGGTCTTTCTAATGCGGCCCACCCAACGCCAGTCAAAGATATGGTAAAGGGCTAAAGTCAATCCTTCTGTTGTATGCATTACAACAAATCCACTGTTATTTACGTTACATCAAATGAGCCAAATTATCTTTTAAAGTATAGGTTTATTCTTGCATATTTTATTTAAATTATTTACTCCCCCCAGTCTATATCCAACCAACACTGAACCAGCCTGACAGTTAAATTTTGAACCTCATTTGAGTCAAAAAGTTTGTCCAAGCCCCCCCACTTTTGGAACCACTGTTATATGACATCACGTTACATTTTCCATAATCTATTTAGTACTGAAGCTGGGGGTGGGGGTCGGGGGCTGACAACAGAGGCCTACAGGAGCCACGAGGCTGCTGAGGAAAAGCTCTCTGATATTCCACACTGAAAACACGTCTCTAAAGAAAAAGCCTTTCTTCGGCCCATCAGCATCTGTTTGACGTCTTTTCTGACAAGGAGAGCGTGTGAAACAGCGCTCCCTGATGAATCGGCATGCAGTGTTTGCTTTTTGTACTTCGTACTGTTTTCAGAGTCTGGAGAAGCTGCATGTTCAAATCCCTGTGGCAGTGCTTTTTTTTTTAGCCTGAAAAAACTCTGAGGCCGTTACATAAGGGCTTTCTTACTCGCAGTGTCCATTAGAGCACACTTGAGCTGTCCTTTTTTTAAAATGCAGATGGTCAAATGGTTTTTAGAGCGAGGCTGCAGAAAGAAATAGGCCTGAAGACACAAATGGAGGATGAGGAGAATGGGGGGGGGGGGGGGGGGGGAAGACAGAAAAAGCGGGGGGCGCGCCTCCCTGCAGA